ACGAAAATGCGACCGCCGCCGAATCACTTCCTCCTTGTTCATCTTCGTGATTGCTGCACTTGTCCTCGTTGCATTGTCGCTGATCACCGATCGTCGGAAATTCTACGGGTTCGGCGATCTCTGAAACAGTTACACCGTGTGTACGTAGTTATTTCTTATTTTCCTGGTAAACCATCGTCATAATAATCTTGTGATTTTAGTTACGTGCAGGTTGGCTCCAAAAGTTCAAAAGTAGATGCAGAATCGTCACGATAACAAAATGCAACAACATCTTGTAATAGAATGCTGGTAAAATGCGGTAAATCGCGTAGTGTAGTATGAGATATAAGTACAAAATATGTCTCGTAATCGGGTATGAAGAGAAAACACCGAGAATACGAAATTTAACTTCAAAATGTTAAATGTTTAGATATTTACTCGAATTGGATAATCTGGTTTCTATGGTATCGTTGTGTAATGTAATTCTTATTTCATTATATTTATTTACGTAAAGTTAACAATCGATTAGATTAATACATTTGCAATCAAGTAATCCACTACTAATTTAAATAAAACCAAAAGGTTTATAGAATCGTACTTTTTACTACGCATAATTTGATATGAGTAGGTACTAGGAATTGTAATATTTTTTTAAATGTCCATTGCTTAAAAATATTAAATGCCGCCCTATGTTGTCTACCCCTTGATCCGGACCGGCGTATTATACATTAAAACATTCCCTAAGACACGACCAATCCGTTGGCGAAAACCGTACTAAAAACCACCGAGTACTTTTCGAGATTTGCGCGTACATCGAAAAAGGGGTTTTTATTTTATAATTTACATAGACATAGATAGATAGATAGATAGATAGATTGGTAATTAATTCTTTTGTCGACTATGATGACCGTGATATTTTTTTCACGCGTAATGCACGCACGAAAATTAAATATTATTTTGTCATCATTCCGCGTGCGCACACCACGAAACCGTATGATCGCAACTACTCCGGCCCATCGGTGCAAATACGAAAATTGTTAAATTTAAAATTATATGGTAAAACCAAAACATTTCGTGTCAGGTAGATATAAGCTTTGCCTCCACGGATTACCGTGGGGTGAATCGTTTTAGCACTCCCAAGTTTTAGACTAAATGTTCCGGTCGGTCTTAAGGTGGGTAGCGATGAAGTCACGGTGCGTGAAAAAAATATGTTTTTTCAGACGATCACAGGCAAATCATCTAATAAAAGTTAAAAACAGTCAAATCAAATTCTCATAAAACGCATTAGAACTACGATCATATTTAGTGGTCGAACAAACACGATATCACGTGAGTACAACGTTACTTATGACACATCGACAACGTTCATAATTAAAACGTAATATAATAACACTATTGGTGTTAGAATTATTATTGTGCGTTACAATAATACTGTGGTGTACGTCGTAATTGAATAAATTGTTAGAAAAATAGCGACGGCCAAATAATATTTACCATAAAGCAATGTTCAGTGTTCATATAACAATACTCTGGCCTACGTTTTCCCCATATTGATGATTGATAATTCAACATTATATTATTGATTATGCTAATCTAGAAAATTCAGTTCGAACCGTAGTAAGAATCTACGTGTAAGATTAATACACACAGACAGTAACATATTTGTGTCCGTGACACTCGCAACCGAGCAGGTAGATATTTATAGTTCAGTTGAAGGCTTTTCGAAAAGCTGGAAAATATTGAATGGGCGATGATGGTTAATCGCTTTATCGGTAATCTACCAACAATTAGACGAACAATGAGCGTATTTAATTATTTAGTACATTCGAACTCTTTGGTCAGAGGTTCCCAACACTTTTATCTCCACTTCCTATTTACATATTTTACTTACATCATTTACGTAGCGACAATAATACAATTTTTTTTTTTAAATTTCGCATTATTGAATGATAATGTCAATATTATACGTTTATTATTTAATGTTAATACATAATTATTTATTTAATAAACCAAAAAATATTGAACTTTAATAATAACAATTTCTCCGCGTATCGTCTACAAGTTTTCCACGTACCACAGATTGGATGGTATTCTTTTCCAACAAAATTCCAAGGGATCAAAGTTCTTTTTCTTTTATTAGCAAAATAATCATAACCAAGAGGAAGGAACACTGGTATTCAATTGACAGAACAAATAGTTATCTAAGATAATTTTTCAAGCAGTTGGTGTACATACGAGTATATAAATATACATAAAATTAATCTTTTTCAAATGCACCATAAATAATAAGAAGATACCTACATGGGATTTTTCTACGTAAAAGAATAAATTATGTCAAGACTTAATATTTTATCTTAGGCGGTCATAAAGGAGATAAGTTTGGGAACTATTACCTTTTAATTTTTATCGTTGCATAATTTTTTCTATATTAATTACAATATGACCGAGCCAATGACAAATCAATTAGAAACAACTTAAAGAGCGGGACATAGTAGAATGTTTTTTTTTATTTTTAAGGCCGTGTACTAGGTTCAACTTAAAACATCATTTCAGTAACGTTAAAGAAATATATATGATCTACTTCAGACGGATAGTTAACATCGTGAAAGTCATTGATTTATACATTTAATAAAACGTCTTCGAATGTTATCAATATAATAATAAAATATAAATACTCAGTTCTATGCTAGTGATATTTATCGAATGTTACAAAAGAAAAAAAAAAATTATTTAAATACTCACATATCACATATGAATTACGTTCGATCAAGGTACGAGAACCTTATTGGTTCATGGCACGCACGGATTAAAACGAAACACACAATTCCATTTTATATTGGCTACATCATTATTATTCTGTTTACTATATTTAATATAACATAGATTACGCGGTCGTAACACAACGACCAAAGAGGTCGAATATGTAGAGAGTACGGTTTTTTTAATGAACTGAGTGAAATACTAAAGAAAAATGATAAAATATTATTATACATACATAGTACAATAGTTTGATAACATATATATGTACATATATAGACGTTTATCTATTAAATTGTTTTTCATCATTGAAAAAACAAATATAAATTGCTTTAATTCTATACATACACGAGATTATTATTAGAAATTATAATTTATAATTAAAGTAGAATGACTGTGGCAATAAATTGTCATTTTTCAAAATTTATGCATTTGACAAATTAACTTTATAATTCTAATCTACCAAGGTACAATTTTAGTAATTATTATCGGAGGTAGAGTAGTGATACTTATAGCTATATAAATAATACACAAATGTCAATAGCATATATTACTATTAATGGGTATACAACTGATATAGACATAAGTAAAATAATAAAATACAAACAAATAAAAATTTGAGATAATTTGTTATTAAAACAAAAATTTAGTAATAAAAAAAAACTACTTATAAAATTTTTTATAGTTGAAAAATTAAAACAATCATAATTTTTTCTGGATATATGGTCAAACATACATTTTCCACATATACCGGGATATTTATAATAAATATTATATAAAATATTTATAATCACAAATTTGAGATGGAAAAATATTGGTTAAAACTATCATTAGCACTTTTTTTATACCAAAGAGAGGAACTACTAAGATACAATAATTTTCACGTGACTAGTAATTAATGTTAAGTATTATGATAAAATTTCTTTTTCTTCTATGTTTGCTAAGCGTAATAATAAAAATAATACCATCACCATATTAATAAAGGTGCTTTTACAAATGGTAGTTATATCATACAAATGTATATTTTTCACCTATTTATGTTTTATGTATATAAATATTATAATCATACAGACATTTTTATCTAAATTAAAAAAAAAATAATAATAATAATATTAATTTTATGATTAATAAAATCAGTTAAATTAGTACTTGTATACAATATTGATAAAAATGAAAAAAAAGGGAAATTTCTAACATTCTGGATATGGCATATATCTATACACATATTATAGTTTCGATAACATTTAATTATTATACATACATATTAAACATATTTATATATTACATAAATATATAAATATATGTTATAATGTATGAGCACAGATAGTAAATATAATTACTCAATGCTATGTATTGTCTAGTGATAAAAACAATTTTGAAATATATAAGTATGTAAGGGGACCTTGTGAAGGAAAACTCGAAAACATCTACAACAATGGTCCCTTGTAAAACTATTAGAAAAGCTTAATTAATATTATAGTACATGATTGTATGATTAACAAAGTAGGTTCACATACATAAATATTTATTGCAATTATAAAGCCGCATCCACCTAAGGGCACATACAAATGAGGCATCAAGTCATATAAATAAGCTTGACCAGCCAGTTAACAGGCTGTAACAATGTGGGTTCCTCATGAACTGCAAGCACATAAGTTTAGAAAATGTGCGCACTTGTGTAGATACGGTTTGATTATAAAATAAAATTAGACATAGTATTAACACTGATCATAAAAGTGTATATAAATTTTGGGATAGTGTTACCCTTATTTTATAACTTTTTTTTTAAATATAATTTTAATAAAATGTTAAAAATTTCAAATTAAACAATAGTGTTATTATAGAACTATAGATACATACATAAATATATATGTTCACAATCTTATTTTAGAATAATAAAGATCAAATCGGAAATTTGTTCTACTGTACCATGTTCATTTATAATAGTGTACAACCTTTACATTTTTGAACACTCTCGCCTTCACTTAAATTGATAACAGGATTAGGTTCATCTTCAATGTGAGCGCTTTGGTCATGCCGTCTCTAAAAAGTTATAAATTATATTAGAAGAATTGAAAGCATTAAAAATTAAAAATTTACTTTAAGCTCAGAAGCAATTGTAATAAAAGCTTCTTCGATATTTTTATTCTCTTTGGCCGATGTTTCCAATACAGACAATAATTCAGGGAAATATTCACACATAGCGTCTGCTTCAGACAACTCTACTTGGCGGTTTTCTTCCAGGTCACATTTATTACCTATACATATAATGATAGCATAAGTCAAATTTGAAACACATAAATTTATACACTTACCGATCAATACGAGCAAAACATTTGACGATGTATACCGACGTACCTCTTCAACCCATCGTTGCAAGTTTAGGAAAGTAGCACGTTTTGTTATGTCATACACTGTAAAACAGAACATCATCAATATGTGTACAGAGGAATAAGATGATCATTAACAAAGATTACCTAAAAGGACCCCGTTGGCTGAACGATAATAACTCTGGGTAATAGTACGAAACCTTTCATGACCCGCTGTGTCCCATATCTGAAGCTGTAATATATGTGTTGTTTATGAATTAATAATTCTTCCAAACATGCTTATTATTTATAAACACATGTATGTGTATGTATAAACGAATGCTACCAAATTACCTTGACCTTCTTGCCATCGATCTTGATGGTTTTCATGGAGAAATCAACGCCAATGGTGTTGCCCTGGTTTTCAGCATAGGTGCCACTTTTGAAGCGCTGCACCACACACGTTTTGCCAGTGCCACAGTCACCAATAAGCACGATCTTGAACAAAAAATCGAAATTGTCTTCGGCCGGCAAAACGGCTACACCGGGTGTCTGGGCAGCCGCAGACGACGAACTGGACGCAGCCGAACCGGAAGTTTTAGACATGACTAGTGTCACTCGAGTGTTCAGTTGGATTCGACGTCGGTGGTCGTCTGTTTACGGCCGCGGCCGTAGCGCATAACCGCAGGACGGGACCGGCGGACGGAATTCTCGGACACGTTCGCGGGTACGCCGAAGAGCAGCGCACAGTGACACACCGTACACGGACGGGGCGACGACTCGATAGGGCACGGGCTAGGGATCGGCAAACGACTGGGGAGTCGATCCGGCGGAGTACGGGTTCGGGGATTAAGCCTATCTACAACGTGGCGATGCGAAGACGCGACGGCGACGGCGGAACGTTGACTGGTGTCCACTCAGTACTCGGTACGGCCACGGTCGTTATACGGCGGGGTGGACGTCGTAGTATGGCGAGACACGGAGATGTCGTGAACGCGCAAAGCACAGAGAGAAAAACTTTACGGCTGCAACAATAACACAGTTATCTCCGTGGTCTTTGTTATCTAAACATATGTTACGTCTACCGCCGAGGACTCTAGAGCGGGTACGATCAGTGCGGACTCGGTATCAGGTACAGGTGAGGTAAGGCAACCGCGGTATCTGCGCAGGTCCGGACTCCGCGACGTCGGGTGGCGGTGAATTGCGTTATCGCGGCGTTGGTCGATCGTTATCTACGTAACCGCGGTATCAGCGTCCAATCGCGATCGTCGTTCTCTCGCAATGGACCCGCTGGGAAATTTACCGTTTCGGAACGCAAAACTGCGAGTAGTTGTATTATTATTCACTGCGGTCGTAGGACAAAGTGGAACTGCGGTCCAGAACCTCAAGGACCGGTTGAGCAGGAGGGGCGCCCCGGACGTTTCTGAGATTAAACATCCTTCAAATGTTTGACAATGTTGATGGAGGAATTCAACAGTAACTTCCCAAATCATACGTGATGATTCTAGTTACAATCAATGGGTGGATTTAGGAGGGTTCACTGGTGGCGAGTGCCACCCCCGTCGGAAAAAAATACCTAAATTTTATTTAGAAGAACTAAACTATAGATTGTGAAAATAAATGTTAACAGTTTTAGTACAATATTGTCATATTTTTTAAGGGAGTCAAAGCCTCCCCCAATACTCCCCTACATACGCCCATAGGCGAGCCCCGGTTTGACCGGAATTTTTTTGGGAACATAGTAAAATTTAAACTAACCATAGTAAAATGTCTATATATATTTTAATACTTTCGTGGAAATCAATTGTATTTATATCCTTTGATATTAAAGAATTTAACGTTTTACTTTTTACTTCAAAAATATGTGTCTAAAAATTAGCAATATAATACTTGATTCTAGGTATAGATATAAATACTACATTGCTTTTAATTTACAACAGAATCTACTATGTTGAAGTATTAGAAAAAAATTAGGGGTACTGTTTAAGTATTGGTGTACTAATTGTATTCAGGTTCGAAAGGAAGTTTAAGTCTGCGCACGTCTATGCATACGCCTATAATCATCTATTTTATATAATGTCTTCTATAAAATGCTCCAACCGTAAATTAATACTATATCCTCCTTTGTAAAATCAGTGTTATAAGAAGATCAAGTGTTTTACAATATGAATATTATGTATAATACAATAGTTCAGTCATATTAGACGAAAAAAAGGGGTTCAGCTCTGAAAAATTCACATCTAGTTGAATTTTAGTACACACCTTTATGATATCGTCATAAACAATATGTAAAAGTCGGCTTCGATATCATACACGTGTTAAAGGTTATTAGAGGTCAAAAGTCACAAAAATGGCCTTTTTAGATGTATTTTTTTTTTTATTTGTCGTACAATAAAAGGTTTTGGATAAAAATTGTAGAAGAGATGTTATATAGTTATATATAAAAAAATTTTTATGATATTTTCACGTAAAAGTTATAGTTTTTGTGTTATAAGGCCATCAAAGTGTATACTTTTAATGAAATATAATTTTAAATTATATAAACAAATAAAACGAAAAAACCTACAGCTTTAGGTATATATTTATTTTTAAAGTCGGGTAATCCAGTTCACAATTTGAAGTC